AAGAAGGTAATGGTAATTATAGACCAATTAGTAATCAATATAACCGGGAAGTTACTGGAAAGTAATCAGGGTAATTGAGCCTTAATTCATGAGGTTGTTACATTTATAACGATTTTGTTCACGATGACTGATGAGACGCCACTTTAACCCTCGAGTAATTTTGTTTTGATGGATTTTATAGTCTCACAATCATAACATTTTGTAAAACTGTTGAACTAAAAACTTTACATCGCCGAGATGAACTCTCTAACTACAGCCTGTTAACACTTTAATCTACTTTATCACACCTCAATTATATTCACAGGACAGCTCAATAATTTTTTACCAAAAGTTACCACCCCAGTTTCAAGAATAAAACGGGCACTGTTCGTATTACCCCCTAGTTACCACCTAATTACCACCAAGTTACCACCTAGTTACCCCCTAGTTACCCCCTAGTTACCACCTAGTTACCACCTAGTTACCACCTAGTTACCAGCTAGTTACCACCTTGTTACCACCCAGTTACCACCCAGTTACAACCTTGTTACCATCCCAGTTTCAAGATTAAAACGGGCACTGTTCGTATTGTGACCCCCCGAAAGTGTGGCAAAGAGCTCGAAGTCGGACAACTTTACATTTTGGGAATAGAAGTAAACCGAAAATTTGACTCAAACCTTCTAAAAATCACCAGGTAATCTGAGAAAAAAAGACGATTTAAATTTCGGTTCGTTCATCGATGATATATAAACAAGAATTGCGCCCGTTGTTTCGTTTTGGCGGACGCTAGATTTCCATTTCACATTTACTATAAATTTAAGTATAAGCTCCAATCAGCTCACTTCAATCTTCATGATAATAATATTGATAAATTATGCATCAAATACGGGAAACACTTGAAATTCAGTTCAATTGCCGTAGAACTTAACTTGTATCTGTAATTCAAGAAATTATCAGCAAAGGTAAACTATACTCGTGTATACATCAATACACTACGCGTGCCACGTACAAATTGGGCGTATCACAGTGCTGGCAAGCACGACCGTTGCATTTATTGTGGGTATACTATGTTCCCCATTTACTATTATACCCCCTTTACTATTATACCCCCTTTACTATTATACCCCCTTTGGTACACGTTACAAGCCTCTTTTGTGCACGCGAAGCGTGCACTCCGGCCGCCTCCGGCAGGAGTTTTCCAGGCATTAAGACTCATCGGAAGTCGTTAAGCAGAATTATTTTTAGTTCAAAACATTCTAATTTGATGTCAAAGATGACAGGAATAAAAAATAGTTATGTTGAGATTTTTAAGAAATTTGCATAAAATACTCGCCAGCACTGTTATACGAAATTCGGTAAAAAACCCAAAATCGCCATATTCAGGTGCCTTAAAAACCATGTTAAAATTGAGTTAGAGATCTGAAATTTTTCAGGGCGTCTAGACGTTGATCAAATCGACTGCAAAAAAAGTTTCAGGTTTCAGGAGTATCGGGAAATGGGTTTTCTAGAACCCCTGTTTTACGACAGATTGTCGTGATATATATATATATACATATTCAGGGATAGACGCTTTGCCAGTCAATTGTAGCCTGTATTTAATTGTCCATAGATTCAAAAGTATAAAAGATAAAGCCATTTCCGACCACAGGTCTTGCAAATAATTGTTTACACTTTAGTTTACATTGTATAAAAAAATTATTTGACGTCATAAACACCCCTTGATGACGTCATCAAGTTAACCGTTTTTAAAACTTGATTTTTGACAAAGTAATAACTTTTAAAATTAATTTTAAACCATTAAGGAGTAATTTTATTCAAAATCTGAGGAGATTTTCATCTTAGATAATTGTTCAAGCATTCTGAAAATCTACCGGAAAGTTTTTCTAGCTTGCTCCTTCATAAAGATATTCGTCATTGAAGTTTGTGCTTTTTTGAAGAATTATTTTATAAAAACGTCAATTTTGCGATTTAGTATTCTCTGGTGTTGGGCCATGCCTTGAGTTGAGGAGCTCAGTTCTGCTTCCTATAGGTATAAATTGTGCATTAGGCTAGTTTTGAAGTTGAAAATCGAAAAGTTGCACACGTGGGGACACGCCCAAATTGATAGAAAATTGCTAAAATCACTGAAAATTGCTGTTTTCGTCATTTTCTGTCAACTTTAGAGTGCCGTTGTGATTACAGTTCTTCTTGAAATACTTTGAAACTTTGCATGCTTATCAAGCTATATATAAAACAATTACATGCAAAAATTTACGGCGATTCAATATTGGATGCGCACGCAACGTCCGCTCAAAGTTTGCACGTGCGAAAGGTGAGAATTTTGCTCATTCGTGATTTCCAACAAATTCTGCTTTGCCACGACAGTTTAATGTCATTATATATGAATTTAATGCCAACTTGAATGAGTATTAGGTGGCATATTCAGTCAGTGATCGACCGATATGCTTACCTAAACACAAGGAAATGTTTTTAAAGGAAAATTTCGAAATCGTTGAAACTTCCTCCTTATTAATTAATGAAGATATCAGTTTATATTTCGACTTTATAAAGTACCCTGACATTATAATCAAAAAGAGATGATATTTTACCAAAACCCATATTCATGGGTAGAGTGGACCGCTGCCAGTGTCTCTCTTTCCCAAACAAAAGGAAATGATATTAATTTGATTGACCGTTCTCAAATGCAAAATGATACCGAGAATGAAATCGGTCGCTCGCTTTTCCCATTCATTTACAATTGTAATAGATTAAGAAGATCTACCCAAAGGCAGCTGTACTCGGCAATAAAGATTCAATAAACTTCAGCTAATTCAATAAGCAATAACTACTACCCTTACCCCGAAATACTAGGTATCGATCCGAACGCAACCCAAAGAGATTTTTACAGCATCTGACTGATGTAATCAATCGAAATTTATTACAATTCGTAAGCCGTGAATGAATGGAAAAAGCGAGCGACCGATTTCATTCTCGGTATCATTTTGCATTTGAGAACGGTCAATCAAATTAATATCATTTCCTTTTGTTTGGGAAAGAGAGACACTGGCAGCGGTCCACTCTACCCATGAATATGGGTTTTGGTAAAATTACCTAATAGTAATATTATACATTACATGCATCATATACATTAAAACACAGTCGCGCCGCGCATTCATAGATCACAGGCTATCTATACATCACATCTCCGCAAGCAATCCTCGCGCGCGCGCAACTTTTTCGTTGCATGGTAACTAACGAAAGGACTGACGACATATTTAAACCCACCTATCTCGTTCTCCAAAATCCACGTTTTTCTGCAAAAATTAACCTCCATTCGTAACCTTTCACTATTGCCTTTTTTCAAAAGGGTGAAAAGGAAAAAATAAGGTCTATAACCGGTGACTCAGGTGCACCCTGGCAATGAAGTACAGTGATGTCCCGTCTAACTTAAGGAATGCGATGGTGAGAAGGAGAATAGACTGCACGTGCGGGGTGTCTTCTTGTGGACATACCACTTGTAACTCTGCTTTTCAGATAAATTTCACTTTCACTTTCACTTTCACTTTCACTTTCACTTTCACTTTTACTTTCACTTTCACTTTCACTTTCACTTTCACTTTCATTTTCACTTTCATTTTCACTTTCGCTGGTATTGTAACTCTGCTTTTCAATTTAATCTTTGAGGTGCAGTTGCACTGTTTGAGTGGTATTGTTGCTTATTTTATTTCACGCTGGATCAAGGAAAGAAAAACGTTTTTTGTAGTATAAGATCGAAATTGCATTGGAATAATGTAAAATTACACACAGCTCAGCTTATTATTTTGCGCTGTTAAATTGTATATTTATAATTGCATAGCTTGGATAGTGTTAAGTTTGAACGGTTTCCTCCTTTTCCATTGTGTTAAACTTTACAGATTTCTGTTACCTCGCTCCGCGACGCTAAGATCCGTTCTCTTTGCCTTTCTACCACGTCCTTTTGTAGCCGCTATGTTGAACAAGGTTTGCTGGAAATATAATCTATCGTCTAAAGATATTTGAATCTGACGACGTAACACTAATTCAATATTTTTGTAGTAATAGAATGCTTTCTCCAGTAAAGCACAAAGTTTTATTCGTGGTTTTAGTTGAAACCAAACTTAGTCCAGGGAAGAAACAAACTTTTATAAATTCTTTGCTTTTAAGGTTGCTGTTGGACGATAGATTTTGAGGATGTTTCAAGTTGTTATGGTGAAAAAATAAAGCCCGAGCAATCAGAGTTTCCTCTCATTGGTGAGACATTGTATTAACGAAAAAGATCAAGGTTAAATCAGCTATAAGAAGATAAGACAATGTATAAGGGGAACAAGTGTGTAATTGTACACTTGTGTAATTGTACAAGTGTGTTATTGTACACGTGTGTAATTGTAAAATGTACACGTGTGTAATTGTACAAGTGTGTAATTGTACACGTGTGTAATTGTTTACGTGTGTAATTGTACACGTGTGTAATTGTATTTAGGGGGGATGTGAAATGTGGTTATTTTGTTTAATATTTGCGCAATGTTCAGTTATACCATTTACAGCTGAATCTATTTCAGAGAACTTCGAGATCGAGAAAAGAGAACAATAAAAAACCATAACAATTCCTCTGCTATCCTATACCTAGTATACACATGGGGATTGTGGTAAATGTGGCCTGCATGTTTACAGACACACGAACACACAAACAAACACCCGAATGAAGAAGTGGCGAATGACAGCTGTGATCATGTTCCTAAGATGCGACAATGTCGCCTAAAATGCGACAATGTCGCCTAAAATGCGACAATGTCCTGTAGGATGCCTATTTAACTTAATTAAAACTGCATTGTTTATTTGATACGTGGTTATTAGGTATTGCTTTTCAGCTAATTTCTAAAACTGTGTTTTACAGTCAGAGGATATAAATTATAAAGAATCAAGCTAGAGGGTAATTTTAATTCTCTTTTCAACTAAAACTATTTGTGGGTAATCGTTGTTTCTCAGAAGAGCAAGTTATGAATTTTTATAAGAAAATTTAACTTTAGAAACAAAATATAAGATAAACATTCTATGCTAACGGTTTATTACATAACTGACAATTATTCAAAATTCTAAAAAGAAACAAAGCGTGTCGTTTGATTCAGTTTCTTATTTCAATCACGGCATTCAAAATGATGTTGCAATAAGCCTCATCAAAATATAAAGGAGTTCCTTCTTGAAAAAATAACTCCAAGGTTTTTAAGATTCTTTGCTTAGTCAGAGTCGCATGTTTTCCGTGATTTCGATCGAGTTGAGATTCTGAAAGACATAGAAATTGGCTACTTTGTCAATTTTAAATAAGTAAATATATTGATTACATAATTTCTAACCTTCAAGGCTAAAAGAAAAATGGTCAATGGAATTGGTCAATAACATACTTTATAAACGAAGGACGGCCATGAGAAGAGGAACTGCGGCGATGGACATGCTAAGTGCACTACTGTCATCATCACCTTCACCTTCACCTCCAGCATCTTCACCTCCAGCATCTTCACCTCCAGCATCTTCACCTCCAGCATCTTCACCTCCAGCATCTTCACCTCCAGCATCTTCACCTCCAGCATCTTCACCCCCAGCATCTTCACCTCCAGCATCTTCACCTCCAGCATCTTCACCTCCAGCATCTTCACCTCCAGCATCTTCACCTCCAGCATCTTCACCTCCAGCATCTTCACCATCTGAGCCTGAAATCAATTAGGTTCATGGTAATAATTTGTATTGCAGTTATCCAAATTGATTTATCCTGGTCTTCAGTAGAAGCGTCTAATACCTCCTCTGTACAAAACATTCGCAATGAATATATTAATTAGAAAATGCCAGTAGAAGTATATTATTATCAACATATTGAATTATAGTTTAGTTAACTTACGGATCCCAACAACCATCAGGCCCATGAGGATAGCGATGAGGAAGAATTTCATTTTGATTATCTTGATAATTGTAAGTGTTAAATTAACAGTTATTTATAGAAAACGAAACCTAACTGCTTGACAGAAAAAAATTTATAAAAACACAAGGAAAGTCAAGGCTGATTATCAAACTATGATGATCAAAGGATTCGAAATGAATCTCATGACACTATAAGACTTGTCAGCTGTCATGATCGTGAAGAACGGACCAGTAAACGGGTTAAACTGAGTAACACTGATAACTGACCGCTGGAGCAGAATTTTATAGGCGCTGCGTTCTCACGCGTCTTCTAGAATATCGGTAGCTGCAGGCGTGTCACGTGACACGACACGTGTCATGTGATACTACAATTGTCACGTGATACGACACGTGTCACTGTCAGAACGTGCTACATCAGAACATGGAATAATGCGTCATTGATGTGACCTTAGTGCAGATCGGTTTCTCTTTGTCCGAGTAGAACTAACAAGATATCCTGATCATTAGCTATGAAAACAAAATGAAGTTAAGCTTTCCTCTAACAGCCAGTGTAGTGAGAAAGAGAGAGAGAGAGAGAGAGAGAGAGAGAGAGAGAGAGAGAGAGAGAGAGAGAGAGAGAGAGAGAGAGAGAGAGAGAGAGAGAGAGAGAGAGAGAGAGAGAGAGAGAGAGAGAGAGAGAGAGAGAGAGAGAGAGAGAGAGAGAGAGAGAGAGAGAGAGAGAGAGAGAGAGAGAGAGAGAGAGAGAGAGAGAGAGAGAGAGAGAGAGAGAGAGAGAGAGAGAGAGAGAGAGAGAGAGAGAGAGAGAGAGAGAGAGAGAGAGAGAGAGAGAGAGAGAGAGAGAGAGAGAGAGAGAGAGAGAGAGAGAGAGAGAGAGAGAGAGAGAGAGAGAGAGAGAGAGAGAGAGCATATTTTCTGTGTAGCTGAGTTGAGGCGGGTCACTTGACAGCTTCGAACTATATTGATAGCCTCCAGAGTAGGAATTGAGGTAATTTATATCGGTTTCTCGAGGGGTTCCCAGAGGAGAAGCTGATGGGTCAGAAGCTCGTCATGTCTTGCGAGATGACCAGCTAGCCTCATCCTCCGCTCAGATATCTTATCAGATGCTCTTATGAGGTTTCAGTACACTTTGGCGTTAGTCTGCCGCTCTGACCAGTCTATGTGCCAACCATTTAACTTCACTTTCTATAAAGAGAGAATATCGTTGATCTGTGCCATTAATTAATCTATAACTTAATCTATAAAGCTATAATATAATCACTAACACCATACTGAAACAATTTCATTTTGTATTCCACAAAGTTGAGAGTTGAAACTGCAGAGCTTTCACTACTACGTGATCATAACCAATCAGATAACTTAGTTTAAAGCTATCCCTTTACAGGTAAAGGTGGGACATGATGATAAGATCAGACAGACTCAACAGTCCAGCAATAATTCCAGAGTAGGAGTTGAGGTAATTATATCGGTTTCTCTTTACTGGTGTTGATGGAGAAAGAGATTACACTTTACTCCATTATGTTGTATGGAACTAGCAGGATCGCTAGCTAAATAAACATTCCTCTTCAATTGTTAATCTGTTTAGACTCTGGAAGACTAAAGTCATTAGTCAACAATCAACAATCATCCTACTGCGGTGCTAACCAAACATTCCTCAATATGTTACCCTCTACCTTCCACTACCAGTGTCGGTTTAGGGTACGGACTACAGTATGCCATCTGCAAAGCAACAACTCTCAAAAAGAAAACACGGCGGTGGTATAAGACCCAACGTATGGGTACTGACTTTCGCCTATATCAGGGAGATTAATATAGATCGCAATTACATATTAAATCGGTAACCGACTATAACTGCGAATTGATTAAAAAAACAGTACACGTGCACTTGAAAGAAAAGCAGACAATTGAACTTTTGTAGTACAAACTTCCACAGATTTACCAAATACCTTATCGGACCTTATTTGGACGGACATTACATGAACGGACATAATTATGAACGGACATTAATATGAACGCTCGAAGGCATTCAAAACCATCAAAAATCCGAATTTTTTTCAATTTTTTTGACGTTTTTTTAATTTCAGCAAATGATTTTTAAATCCATTTTTTATACAGTAAGTAAGAAAAGCAGTCATTAAGCAGTAAAAATGTTAAAATATGTGTTCATGAATCATGATCAGTTTCTAATATCACATATCATCTTCATCAAATGGGTTTTCGCGCATGAAATAGTCCATGCTTAAAGCATCAGTGATTTCTAGCTTTATGGAAACCTTTTTTTATCAAACTACCCCGGTCCTGCATTTCAGCGTTAACTTTTACAATCCATTCGGCGTGAAGTGGTTTTATCTTAGACAACTTAAGGTTAACCTTAACATCACGTGGAGCTTTCCTAGCACTGTTTCATTACCGCCCCCGAGTAATATGAACTATAACAACTTCGGACAATGTCCTTGGCAACACGATTTACCGTTACGTACGTTTTGGTACGTTTTGGTGAGTTTGGCAGGGCGTGCTCAGGACAACTGCATCGAGTGCGTCCTCCTCCAGCTCAGCATTGAGTTATCGTTTGTCGGAGTGTATCCCGGAACCGGTGGTGTGTCTGGGTACTGTTCCATAAATCTGCCTAGACCAACTTTGAAACTGTCTAACAATGTGATACTCCGGAGCTCCGATGGGAGCACGTTGAAGAGCTGAGCTGCTCTATCTCTAAAGCTGTTGTCGTAATCTGTTCTTACCGACAACTGTGCGTTTTCGTTCATGGCTGGGATCTCTGCCTTAATACCATGCCTTTGATGAGACTTGAACTCGAAGCCCGTATCGTTCGGAGCATGTTCATTAGAGGCTGGAACTGGTTATATCTAGAGGCTGGAACAAGTTTGTCATGTTGGCGGGGACTAGCTTATGAACTATGTTGTTGAGTGCCATAATTTCATTGACTTTTTTCCGCCAAATGACCCTTGAAAACATCATAATATACTAGTAGAGTTTTCTGTGCCTCTGGCAGACCAAGGAGAACCTTTCCGTCGTTAACTTACGGCACAATAAAGTTCTCAAAGTTGTCATATTCTGGGCAAAAAATTCGAAATGAAAAAATTTCAACGGACTTTAACTTGGACGGACATTAATTGAACGGACTTTATTTGAACGGACATTAATATGAACGCTAGGGCCTCCAGCGTTCAAGTAATGTCCGTCCAAATAAGGTCCGATAAGGTAAATTAAAATTTATGAATGGTAACCGAACATCCGAGTCATGTGTCCAATGGCGTTAAAAACAATGCACTAAAAAATGCAAATGCTTATGTCTTTGAAACCAATCCGAATACAAATTTTTGTTAGTCCAAGAGTTGAAAAGTTAAACATCAGGTGCTGAGAAAATAATCTCCTATTGAGCACAATTCTAGGAGTGAGGTGAGAAACTAAGCTAGTTAATTTTCGGAGCCTCGACTTGAAGAATCGTAATCGACAATTTGATCTCCTTTTTGCCGTAATTATTGTTTTTTGAAAATCATGTCTTCAGCAACAAAAGTACCATTGCCGAAACATAAAGCTGGTATGGAGATAATTTTCCAAAAACCGTTTATGGATGAAAAGAGTTCCCAATTTACGACTGATGATTACTTTTAGATTTTTTGAAAAATAGATTATCATGATCGTAAATTATATAAAGAAGCTGCAGTATTATGAAAATTACTTATAAGACATTATGTACAAGTTTAGAGAGAGAGAGAGAGAGAGAGAGAGAGAGAGAGAGAGAGAGAGAGAGAGAGAGAGAGAGAGAGAGAGAGAGAGAGAGAGAGAGAGAGAGAGAGAGAGAGAGAGAGAGAGAGAGAGAGAGAGAGAGAGAGAGAGAGAGAGAGAGAGAGAGAGAGAGAGAGAGAGAGAGAGAGAGAGAGAGAGAGAGAGAGAGAGAGAGAGAGAGAGAGAGAGAGAGAGTAGCTGAGTTGAGGCGGGTCACTTGACAGCTGACCTATATTGAAAGCCTCCAGAGTAGGAATTAAGGTAATTTATATCGGTTTCTCGAGGGGTTCCCAGAGGAGAAGCTGATGGGTCAGAAGCTCGTCATGTCTTGCGAGATGACCAGCTAGCCTCATCCTCCGCTCAGATATCTTATCAGATGCTCTTATGAGGTTTCAGTACACTTTGGCGTTAGTCTGCCGCTCTGACCAGTCTATGGTAGTATTTGTATAATTGCTTTTGCATCGTTTTATTGAGCTCGCTTATCAGCAAATTTATCTACTGAGCAAGCGTTACCATCGGCTATCTCTGTGTGTATACATATTGTCTTGTATATACATTACACCATGGTTACGAGTTCTGAGAATGATGGCAGTGAAAAAGTTAAAATTATCATCGGGAAGCTTATTGATAAAGCTGAAATGCACGTTAGACCGGTTATTTCTGCTTTTGATAATTCTCAGTCGTGTGCAGCTAACACTAAGCGTTTTGATCGGTTTTCTCTCCCAATACTTGAAAATTGTGCGGAATTCTTAAGAATTTCTCTCGCTGACAAGGACAATTTCAAGATATTTACGAAGAAAACGCTTATTGATCGTCTTTATTGTGGTTTCCAAGCTTTGATGCCCTCTAAATGTGCGGAATGTAGTGAGGACTATGTGATCGACCACGAGCCAGATGATGCACCATGTTTCACATGTTTTCGGTGTTTTAAAGGCTCGCACAGCTGTGAACGGAACACGCTACTTCATCAGACCATATCAGCGATGAACACTCCTTCCGGCTTTGTGTGGCTATGTGACACATGTTACAGTGCTGTTGATCCGATCGAGTCCAGAAAGACAAGATCACGACATACATCTGCTTCAGATAATAATAGGAGTGGAGCTCTGTCCAGCAATTCTATTGGAGGAGATTTTTCTAATATCATCACCCCCTCTGGAGATGGGATGTCCTCTACCCACAACCCCCAACAGCAATTCGTGTCTTTCTCTGAAGAGAATTCAAATCAAGGAACTGAAAGAATCTGCCAGAAGTTCTTGAGCTGGAACTGTCCGCACGGAATTAGCGGAAAGAAGGCAGT